TGCCAAGAAATAACAAAATATTTGTCTCTGAGATAGTTAACCTCTCTTCCATACACAATCCACAACACATTGCCTTGGCAAGCGTTAGGCAGTACCCCCTTCTTCTCCATGGAGAATGGTAATCTTTTTGCTTAGGTTTTCAGCTTTTCCCACAGAGATGAGAAACACCAGGAACACAAACCATTTTCCAACAAATTAGCTTGTCCTGAGACTATTTTTTTTCATTGAATTTAAACGTGAAAGTCATAGAAGTATTTCACTATATTCGAATTAAGAAGCTGAAGTTCCAAACATAGACAAGAAATGCAGTTTGTAACTCCTGCGGGCATGGGGTCTTTATTTGCACAGAATTCTCTTCCAGGCCCTGGGATTTAGTGCCCAGAGGAAGAATAGACACCTCCATGTGTCACCCTAGGGTGACAGCATTTAGCATCTTCTTTTCTTTTTCCAATTCCTTTATTCCCCCCAAAGGACTCTGGATATATTACACATAAAACCAATCCATGGCTTTTCTGACATATTTTGCCCAAGCTGGAGTTATATACATGTGCCAATCACCAGTAAAAGGTGATTACTTATTCAGTAGAAAGGAGCTTTGAAGAACAGTGGGATGTGGTTCCATATAAATGACACATTTTATCTGTTTTTCAAATAATTCATGGAAAATACTGACATAAAGTGCCAATTATTTTTCCCCATGAATAGGGCTGGCAGTCTTATTGTATACTTTAAAAGTCACTTACGATTTGCTCACATTTTTTAATTCCCCAGGGAAAAGGATGTATTTTCTTTGCTCTAAAGATTAAAGTTCAATTTGACTTCATATTTTGTGAAAGGGACTCTTAAAGATATTGCATTCTCATATCCTCTCAGATATCATTACGAGCTGTAAATTTGGTGATTGATGTCTAGGAGGTAGCCTCCAGAGGTTGCATTCTAGTTAAAATAATAAAGTACTCCTTATCCTCTGGATGCATTTGAGAGAATAGCAGGTAGTCATTGTTTATCGTGCTAAAGTGAGCCACTCGGTTTGAGACAGCTCATTTTGGGTCTGAGCTGAATACTATGCCTGAGTGATTCTACTTCTAACAAAGCTGCCAACAGACTCATTCTCATTGTTCAATTTGAATGAGAATTAGCTGCTGCTGCATGCAAGCTGAAGATTCTCTATTAGAAAATGATTCTCTAGACATGTTTATTGAAGCCTGGTGGCTGCAGGATTTGGAGAGGGACCATAGTGAATGATCTCCAATGGATGCACTTTCCGTTTAGATCACAGCACTCTACCTTAGAATCAAGCAGACATGACACGAGGGAGAGGGGGAGGTGGTAACATCTGTATCATCCTTAGGCTGGTGTCAGGGCATCTGTGTTCCTCAGACTCCCTGGAAGGACACAAGCTCAAGGAAAACAGTGACCCCATTTTCGTTTTTAAAAAGAGCATGCAATTCCTCTACAAGCAATTGATGTGATTGACAGAGTTCCTCCCAAGTGAGGAATGGACCAGTGCCAGCAAGGGGCATGCATAGCTGCTGAGCTTTTAGTTCACAGGGTCAAAAGAACACAAATTGTGAAAAAAAAAAAAAAACCTGGGATTTGCAAGACACTGTTCCCCAAAGAAGCCTCCTGGATGCATTTACACACACAGACTCTTTGGGATTGGTGCTAACTGCATCCTGGATACTGTACAGCATAGAACATTCTAGCCCTGCACCTTAGAACATGTGTTTTTATAATGTGATCTGGGGAATTCAAGTTCAGTCCACAGAGTATTTGAGTGCTTTAGAAATGACTCATCAGGTCCTGGAAGCACAAAGGCAAAATTCAGAACCAACCTGCCTGCTTCCAAGCAACTACTCCTCTTCAAAAAGGACAAACTTGTTTATATATGAATACATTTAACACACACATATATTTGTGATGCTGCTCTGGATTTCTGTTCAGGAAATATCCCATGTCAACTTTTTTTCTCTGAAGAAGGCAGATCATTTGTCTGAGACCAGATGAGCTTGACAGAGATCAGGGCAAGCACAAAAATTATGACTGTGATATAATCAAGATATGAATGCAAGCTGTACTGTTATTAGAAGAAGAAAAAAAATATGTGCTGTGATGCCAGGTCACCATGGCCATCCTTATTGTTTTATTAATTTATTACCACTTCAATGTCTGCCTCTTGACTTAATCAACATAGCCTGAAAAACATCTATATTTAGTTTCTAAAGGTGGTAATCTACTCATTCAATTATTATTTTTTTTTTACTAAAGATGTTAAGCATTTTCAAGGGTTATGGTTGACAGGTTTAGTTTGTAATTTTTCGGTCTGGAGTGGTGCAATTTCTGGGAGCAGATTGCACCATAAATGGGAAGCCCTCCTGTTTTCTTCAGGAACAGGGCTCTACCTGCCAACAGTCTCTTGTTCTCCAGTTTCAATAGCCTTAACTCTGCTTTGAGACTGTGTTATCCATTCTTATTAATCTCTTTGGGATTCTTACACTAGGTATACAATAATGCTGTGAGGGCCTCAAAAATCCTCTCAAATCAGTGGCAGTTCAAATGAATGGATTGGAAAAAAAATCCCTTGAATTTTCTGATGTCTTGTTTTATGGTCATCATTTTCTCAGAGTCTGGATAACTTGGAAATGGTAAAAGAAAACATTTACGGAGAACTCAGCAGAGAACCACCTGAGGATGATCATTTCAGAGAAAGTACCATACAAATAAAAATAACAGCAAAGGCGGTTTTCTCTTCTCTCCAAAAGAAAGCACCCACTTAGGCTTTCCCAGTGAAGTCTCTGACTTCTGAGCTCTCTGACTACCTACCCCCAGGTAGTTTGATGCAGCTCTCTTTTCATTGTTGTTGTTGATACAATTGTGAACTTTGGATAATAGGGAGCCACAGACCAGGCAGGAAGTGAGAGCCTGAAATCTGCAGAAGCAGATCCTTTAGATAGCTGTGGATCCCTAACAGAAGTCGGCAGTCAGAATGTGAGGGCATCAGAGTGAGATAAGACAGAAGCTCAACACCCAGGAAATAAGTCTCAGGGTGCCTCAGCTTCTAAGGTCAAAGAGAAAGAGGGTCAGAAGGCTATCAGGCATGGAACATTCCAGTCAAGAATCACATGGGGCAAAGCTTGCTCTTGTCTTTGCAAAAACACCCTTTCCATGATTTCTGCAGGGAAAGGAGTCAATTTCCTTGCACATCCAGCCATGTGCCTCAGAACAAGGGCAGATAATGAGGAGAACATAATGGGATGTTAAAATGGCTCTATTGGATAAGTATATTTCTCACGAACTCCATTACCTAATATAGACCCCCCTTTCCTGTTATTTGTTCATTTTTTTTTAAATGCCCAGAATAGATTATTGCATGGTTTCCAACTTTTCAACTTTTCAGGCCATCTGGAAGCTTTGGATATAAGACATCTCTCATCTTAAAGCACATCATCCATATTAGCATATCAAATTCTGAAAAATGGCTACTCCCTGTCTAGAGCTTTTCCTGGCAATGATTACTGTCAGAGCAGCCCCTCCTCTTTGAAGGGGATGCAAGAGGAAAAAGTGTAGATGGAACTCAAAGACAAAAAGTAGGTGCTGATGGAGAGCTCAAGTTTCAGCAATATGAAAACAGAAAAATTAGATCAGGCAATAATGCAGGAATGTACCTATTCATATGGAGTGTCCACAATGTACCAAGCACTATATATACTACCAGAAGGATACAGTGAGAAAACTTTCGGTGGTCTCTAAGCATCCCTACTTTAACAGAGCAGGAAAATTTGGGCAGAAACCAAGAAATCTCTAGAAGTACTCAGGTAAGTTTAGATGAGTGTCATTTTATACCACTGCCTTCAGGATGTACATACTAAAATGCACAGAGCACTAAAATTTTGGTCTTAAAATTTTGAACAAATCCCCCAATTTTACTGACTCTTTACATCCACCTGTATAGAATAGGATGCTTTATTATTACTGTTCAGTAGGAAGGACAGTGTCCTGTAGGCTGCTGGTCTAGAGGTATGAACAAGAAGAATGGTGACATAGGAAACTGGGATATCAACTCTTCCTGGCTGAGAGGTTGGAGCAGATTCATCAGCTCTTGAGCTGGGCTTTGAACAATGAGTGCCATTGTTCAGGCAAACAAGAAAGGTAAGTGCTATACTACTGGCATAGGGCAGAGGAAATAGCACTTATCAAGGTCTTAAAAAATTCAGTCTTTAGCCATTTATTCAACAAACTTAGTGAGAATTTGTTATTAGTGAGTTAATTATTAGTTTAGACATATTCTTAATATTAATTGATAATGTTCTAGACATTGCAATACAGCAATAAGCACAACAGACAATGTCCCTGCCCTCAAAGTCTACAAACTAGTGAGAGTGAGAGATAATAAAGTAAGTTTAAAAAGCATCATTTTATGCTATATAAGATTCCAAATAATAATGCTATTAGAAAAGCCAAGTGAGATAATATGTAATGCAGATAAAAGTGACAACTCTTTTAGATTGAGTACTCTTAGAGGCTCTCTATGAGAGTGCAACATTTGAAGAAAGATCTAGAAGGCAAGAATGATCCAGGAAGAGTTTCAGGCAGAGTAAAATCAGCACGTGTAGATACATTGTAGCAGAAACACACTGAGCTAGGGTATGTTTAGACAGAATTGAAGTCATAAAGTTATTCAGGAGCCATATCACATAGGGTCTTCTAAACAAGATCAGGAGTTTTTGTTTTATTCTCAAGTGTATAGAGAGTAATGGAGAATTAAGAAGTTGTGATGATTTGATGACTAAAAGATCACATGTGCAAATGAAAAACTAGAAATCAGAAGACTTGGGTGAGAAGAGGGCAAGAACAGAACAAATTAATAAGACAATATCATCATAATACTCCAGGTAAAAATGATGGTGACTTAAACTAGTAGAGATGGTGAGAAATTAAAGGAGTTTATGAAATATTGCTTTCCATGGAGTCGACCAAATTAACTTGAGTATTGGGAATGAAGAAAGGAGAGGGAAAAAAGGATGAATTCTATGGTTTAGTGGACACACAAGTCCAGGTAGAAGAGTTTGTCAAGGGCTAGATCATGCAGAGACTCACGTGACCCACAAAGTTGGATTCTATCCTATAGACAGGCAACGAGAACCCCCAGGGACTCTAATTAGGGAACTAATCTTATCAGTTTTCAGTTTCAGAACACCCTGACAACAGTGTGGACAACTCAAAGGCTAGCAAGACTGGGAAGAAAATTGTCATAATTAATTTAAGAGAGTTCAGACAAACCGACATGAAGGTAAGTTTAACAGTGAGAAGTCAAAAGATGTGTTGACTGTTTTGGGGGCTTGGAGTCATCTGTATAAAATAAAGACTCTCGTAGCCAATCTGAAGACAAAATCATCAACACCCGGGTAAATTCAGGAGCAGAGGAGAGTGCTGTGGATTAATGAGCAGAGTTAGAAGAGAAAAGCACCTGGGAGTTTCCTCTGAACAACCAATCTCACAGGCAGATGAGCAGACTGAGTAGGACCAGATCACCTTGGAGGTGACTGTCAGCTTCAATATCTATAACTAACTATAACTTCAAGCAGTGTTTTAAAAATGAGCACTGGGGCAGCCAGATAACAAATGTATCAGTGCTCAGCCTCATGTGACAGAGGCGTGCAATTCTATCAAGAAGACAACTGTTTAGTTTGAATTCATCAGAACTCAGAACTAGAAACAAAGTTACTTGCTTTTACTTCATTAAAAGGTGCAATCCCCAGCTGCATGAGTGGGAGGAATAGAGGAAGAGAGGCAGAGAGAGAGAGAAAGGGGACCATGTGATGCATCATAAAGTTGGTCTGTATCAAATATGACCAATGCTGGGGGTCATCATTCAAGCAGCTGCCTCAGGACAGTCCACTGGGGAGAATATTTATCCACCATCTCCAACTCCCCCCAAAGTCAGAGCTTTGCCTCGGAGTATATTATCCCTTCTACTCTTTAGAGAACATGTGTGTGGCCTCTGAGCAGGTGTTCCTGTTCCTTGACAGGGATGCCCTGGGCTGAAAGGTGACAGGCACACAGCAGGAAACAAGGAGGGTGAGATCAGGTTGTGCAAAGTGGATTCAAAACTGTGTCCAAAAGGATGATGCTCTGTTGATGGCTGGAAGAAGAAACAGGCGAGGGTGAGATCTGAAGTGGGACTTGAGAGGTATCTGATTTAGTAAATAAACACAAAGAATAGTCAGGCGCTTTGAGATTTTCTGTTTATTCATTCACAAATAGTTATTGAGACCTGGATGTTCCTGACACTGTTCTCAGATCTTGGCATACATATTTCCATGGCAATCTTATAAAGTAAGGATTATTACGTTGTCATTGTACAGACAGTTTGCATAAGAAAATGATGCTAAAAGAGTCGGAAACCTTGCCTAAGGAAGTATCTGGTAAGAGGCAGATTTGGCATTTGAACCCAGCTCAAACTCCTAAGCCCTTTCTCAGTCCACTACATCAGCAACTGCACTAGATTAATTATATGGAAATATATTGGGAGGAGCTCATGTATTAGAATCGTTTAAAAAGAAACCTAGCTAGTTCTAATGTGTACCTAGGCTTGAGAATAACTGCCTTGCTTAAACAAAACAAACCCTCAGGGTAATCACCCACTGATTTAAAATATAAATTAGGTTTCATTAACACCTTGCTTATTTTACTAATGTACAGATTAACTTAGATGCCAAAGTTGGTGAGCAAAGGGCTTCCGAGTACTTTAGGAATCTGACAGTAGTCAGGTAGTCAACACTAGGTTGAGATCACACCATTACATTTGATAACAGTCTTTCATTTTTTTTTTTTTCTGCTATATGATCTCCTGAACTGTGTTCCTCAATTCTCAACTTTGAATAAAAAAACAAAATGCCTCTAGGTTCTCCCTGGCAAAATATAAATCTTAAAAAAAAAAAAAAAGAATCAAATCTCAACTAAAGAAATCTGGTTTGGATCAAAGTAACGAAATCATTAATCTGGGTCTTTTTCCAAAACTGGAATGAGCCCAAATCCAAGCCATGATATATATGTAAGAGGCCAGATATTTAGAGGAATATTAATTCTTCCTTATTGTTGATGTGTTTGTGCTGACAAGAAGAGACAGAGACCAATGGCAGAATACAGAAAGGCTGTGTTTGAGTATCTTTAGCCTGATTAAAATAAGGAATGATTTAAAACTATTTCAAACAGTTCTTCCCTCAGAATTCTGCAAAGCTTCCAGCTTTCTGGAAGAGACAAGAGAAACTTGGCCATGGGGTGCGGACATTGGGGAAACCTCTTCCATTTGGATTGAACCTCCACTCCAGCATGCAGAGGGGGGACTCCATCTGCCTAAACTTTTTTTTTTTTTTGGTGGTAGAGAAACAGACCACAGATGGAACTTGTCTTTTATTATCTTAGGTAGGATCCCTTGCAGTTCTCATGAACTGCTTGAAGATGTTAAGAATCACACTGCAGTTGGCAAAGTGACTGTTGACCTTCTGAAGAACATGCTCAGGTGATAGCAATCATGGGCAGGTCCTGAATCATAGGTGATGCTGATGTGTACCAAGCTTGAACCCCCATAAAAGCCTATCTTCCTCTCCCTGAGCCTACTTCATTATCACAGGGACTGGCTTTCCTGACTCCCAGAGCCAGATTGGAGAAGGAGCTGGAGGTGGACCAGAAAGCCTGGTTAGCTAGGAGTTCCTGCCTTGTTACAGCACTGATCCTGCAGTTTCTCCACTGGATTCATTAGAAAGCCTGGACTGATGAGAAATTTTGGTGCTGATAAGGTAGAAACATAATCACCCTCCTGGGCCCTTGTATTTTACAGGGGAACTTGGACAACACACTGCATTTCCGCACCTCTGATAGCCTGACTCATTTCCTCTACCCGAAGGAGAAACAGACCTCCTTGGACAAAGCATTTACCTTTCATAGTCAATGAGTCAAGCAATTCTCCAGACGCTGAGAAGCATTTCCAGTGACAATCCCCAAAACCTGTTCTGAAGTGAAGTTCTTTTACCCTTGACTTTATGGGTAGAGTCTGAGTTTCATGTCTGAGATTTGGCTGATTTCAATGCTTTACATGTAAAGACAATCAAAATAACAAGCATGTATACATGTGCACATGCACACACACACACAGAGCTATATTTCTCATGTCTTTCTCTGTTCTGAGCTCTACAAGCATTGTTTATCACTGGAGCCCAGGTGAAACTCCATAATCCTATATGAGCCATCAGTGATCCTCTGTAGGCAAACTTCATTTTATTTAGTATTTATTAACAGCCTTTGCCTGGTATTATGTGTACATTTGGCAAAGCAGATGGAAAGGCTGAACAGAAGTCTACACAAAGAAACTAGATCCAATCAATCCTGTACCTCATCTTAGAGATATACAGTCCCTAACCAAGTTACTTCATTGCCCAATCATCAGAATGTCTCAGCAGTTGCTGATGACACCCACTTACACCTTGACCAGCAGTGCTCCTCTGACTTGAATTCATATATTTGGTTTCATGGTTTCACAAACTTGACCCTAAGTGTTATATTCAATGATTTTTTTCCTCCTTCCCGATGGATACTCTACCCTGAACACTTGCATGCCAACCACTCACAGGTAATGTCCTTTCTCTTAAAGAACTCAAAACAAGACATTTTCATTTGAAGACTGTAGAGACCATCCCCTGGAAGCAGGAAAACCTGACCCAATATGGCAGCTGGGGCACTAAAATGTCACTTGCTGGATACAGGTGGAATTTTTAGACGTTCCCTCTGCAACACTTAGGGCAGAGAGATTAAGCGGCAGATTCAGGAATGAGACTCATGCTTTCAGATCCCAGATTCACTATCATGTCTTTTGCAGATTAGTTCTCAAAACCTTAGTTACCCAACTTCTAAAATAATTATGAAATCATACCTGCTATGAGGATTAAGGGAGATCGGCTCTGTCAAGTGGCTAGCATTCTGTGAGGTACATGTGGTAAATTTGGTCCAATAACTGTTAGCTATTATTATCATTATTACTATATGTGCTTAATCTGGAGATGATGCTGCAAAACTCAGTGACATTTCCAGGATTAAATCAGATTTTTCAAAGAAAACTTCTTTATTCTTAGTATGACATTTAGAATTCCTTCTATGAGGTTTTGAGAAGATCTCCCAGTTTTCCTAACACAATGAAGCTTGTTTTTATGCTCTACCACCAGAGCAGTTAGATGGTAAGACCTGGGTGATGTCAAGAATCCTGAGTTGGAAGGAAGGAGCAGATAGAGGTTCTCTACACTCTCCAGCTATATTTTTGTTTCAGGGCTCTTTAAACCTGCTTAGGGCTTCACTGGCTGCATAGTGCCTCATCTTCATTGGCTATATTAATCATGTTCTCCTGCTTCCATCTCAAGGTTATTCAATGGCGATTTTGAATGCTGGGATTCCGTGTTTCACAGTTGATACAGCTGAACAGATAAAGTAAGTGAGCTTATTGATTTTGCCCAAGTTATGGGTAGGGCAAAGAGGGAAGAATGGGTTGGTAGATAGAAAAGAGAAACTTTGTTTTTCTTTTCATATTTTTAATGGTGCATTACAGTTGCACATAATGATGGAATTTGTTATTACATGTTTTGTACATTCAGACAATATATTTTGATATAATTTGGCTTATATTATTCCCCAGTATTTCCCCTTTCTGGCTATCAACATTGGATAAGAAATCTAAAAGATTTTCATTGTTCACTAAACAAGACCTCAGTTAGGACCCACTCTAAAAAAGAACAAAATGAAATTGGAAGAGGCCAAAGGAGGAATCTCACTAAATATGAATGAGCTAAGACATGTTCTATTTGAAACATTTGGGTCTTTCTTGGCAAGAGACCTACTCTCATCCTGCTCTGGTCTCCTCCCTTTCAGCTCTCATTGATTATAAATGAAGATTATCCCCAGACCTGAATCTGTTTTGCCAGGATATTCCCCTAAAACATGTTGCCCCTTTCCATTTTTTCCCTTCTCTTTAATTTCTTAAACCACAGGTATGTAATAGAAATTTTATTCCTGCAAGTAATTGATTTATTTGTGCTGACATCATCAAAATGTCTCAACATGAATTTGATTCCATGTCCAAGATGATTAAAAATACACATTTCTTATCCTTATAAACAGAAGATCATGTTTTTCTTCTAGAAAAGGAACTCACCCATAAAAGACTTGGACTCTGCTTGAAATTCCCAACATATGATTTTGAAGATCATCTAAAAGTTTCTCTTTTTCCCTTTCACCAAAACATTCCCACGGTAAATGCACTAAGAATATAAATGCCTAATAGAACAAAAAACCTGCAAACTTTTCTCACAACCTAAATGTTTCAGTGGGTCCAAAAAGCATCTGGACTAAGGTCTCCCACTTTGGGGGCGGGGGGGAGGGAGGGAGGGAGAGGGAGGGAGAGAGAGAGAGAGAGAGAGAGAGAGAGAGAGAGAGAGAGAGAGAGAGAGAGAGAGGAAAGAAACCCACTCATTCATTTATGTCTTTACATCTTAAACAAAATGAATTAATGGCTTTTAAACCCTTTACACTTGGAAAAGGAAAGTGCTTCTCACTTGACAACTTAAATGATAAGTTGCAGCCCAATGTATTTTGAAATGGACCAAACATAAATCCATCTTCAATAGGGATTTTTAATTGGAAGCCACACTGACCCTTAACTCCGGTGTTGCTGCCACACAGCTTGTGATAATGAAGACTGACAAATTGTCTTAGCAGGATGGAGCCTTTCGATGGCCACACCAGGCATTAGGAAGCAGACACACATTTCCAGGTGTGGGAAGACTGCAGAAGCCACTCTGAGCTGCTGAACAGGGCCCCCTGCATGGTGGAAACAGGTGTCTCTGTAGTAAAGGGGGCCAGGAGGCAGCAAAACATATCTAAGCAGTGGGAGCCCAGGGAAACACTTCTGAAATTAGAATGCAGGAGGAGAAGGGGGAAGGAAAGAAAACATAATCATCTCATGGAGAAGTCTGTCTGCTTGTGGTCTGTTTGGGAATTAAGTTGCAGAATCTTCTTGGGCTTTGTGAGGTTGGTATAGGAGAGCCTGCAAATCTCATGTAGAGCTTTGATGATTTTTAAAAAGCAAACCAGAAAACAACAGGAGTTTCAAGCTTAGAGTATGCTGTTGAGCAGAGATTGTGATATTGAGACCATTCCAGAAGAGGAAGTTTTAAGGCCAAAATTAAAATAGCACATTTGTTCCTTGCAATTTGACTTCAGAATTCCCCAAGGCTCCTTCCCTGAGAAGCTTTATTTTTCATTTGAGAGATGTTGTGCACCATATGGATTCTTTTTTTTTTTTTTGGTTTACATCTTGCATTTGCCAAGAATGTCTTTTGAGACACAGCACCTCGTTTTCCATGGGCATCCCAAGAGATATCAGGTACCTTTAAAGCTCTATGTATTGGCTCTGGTAAATGTAAACATGCAGAATAAAACAACACTATTTAGCAAATAAAATGATATTCTCATAAGCTGTGCAAATCATAATTACAGCAATCTCAAAAATTATTATCACTTAGTGTTCAAAGAGCACAAACCTTCATTTAGAAGCAAACTAAAATTAGAATCCAGCCTTGACATTGGTCTGTTAGACTCAGAGCCTCAAAAGAATACATACACATTTGAACATTTTGACTTGATTTACAGGTGAATTCAATTAATGTGTCAGTTCCCATTGAACTCCCAAGTTGATTGACTAAATTGATTGAACAAATTGATCTATTGTGTTGTCACCTTGCAGACTTAGTCACCACATAGATACAGAAGTGGACACTTAGCTGGGGAGCAGACATGAGGAGAAGCAGCAGAAATCTAGAGTAGCCGAGGGTCGTGTTATTCTCTTTGCAATTCTCCACATTTGTTGCTGATATATTTTTGGATATATTGGCAGTCCTCTAAGGAAAGACTGATCTACTAAAATGGACTTAAAATGGAGTTGTAGGAGTGTTGAATTTAGGAGGAACACAGTCAACCCTCCACTGACAAGCTCCTCTAGATGGCTTTGGCTCTGCTTCTTTATTGCTGGCAGTCTTGGAATCACAGACTCTCCTGATCTTTCAGCATCTTCTCTTTGGCTCTCTCAGGCTTACTGGGTATTGCAATTTGAATCTGGAAGACTCTTAGTTGCCTGGATCTTGGTTAACTAGGAAGCTGTCTTCTCTTTGCTTCCTAAACAGTCTTAAAGTTGAGAACAATTACTCTTGCTATTTGAATTCCTCTTCGAATTCACGGAAATCTAATCCTGTGCTCAAAACATAATGACAGAATAAAGAGAAGACACAGGGACTCAGCCCTTTAAAGATCTTACATTTTATTCACATAGATGGGGTTTTGTTTATTTTGTAATTTATAATTAGAGCACTCTTGTCTCTATGTCCTGAGAAATATTCCTGAAAATATCAAATATACGCATTATAATTATGTATATATGTGTGTATATGAATAGATGTATACACACAATCTTACAAAAATTACCTTGAATAAAAAGTGTACATTATCTGATAATATTCATAGTAGTTAGAGTATTCAAAAAGACTGTTGCATTTAGGGCAGTAACTTGAAGAAGTAAAAAGAATCGTAAAACACACTACCATCACCACCACCAAAAACTGAAGCAGCAGCAGCACCAATATCAGCTTAGCCAAACAGAACAGTCTGACCTGTAAAGTTTTGCAGCAAGCTGTGTCCACAATACTATATGGTAACTATCTGTTTCTAATTTGTTGGCTTTTGTAACTACTATTTTCTTTAAGCTCAAATGGACAGACATACATCAGAAACAATGTCAAACTGAAGGAGTTAATCAATGGTGGCCTTCTGAAGCATAATCATTATAATTGTCACCTATTGAGTGCTGTGCCTCAGATGCTGCAGAAAGTGCATTACAAATTGTGTCTCAATTCATCCTCACCATAGAGCATGGCTTTTTTTGAGGTTAGGCAGAGCTTGCATTCATGTCTTAGCTCTGCCATTTAACTAGCTTTGTGAACATGGAAACACTTATTGAAATCTCTCAAATCCCTGTTTGTTCAATTGTAATCAGATTCTGAGAATCATCTGACAATTTCTGAAGGTTCCTTTACCAGTGAGCAATTATGCATGTTGAATTTCTCTGTGTGACATTATTCTGTGTGTGAATGCTGCTTCCCGACCAGGTCATGCCTTAGCCTTCACAATCATCTTTCTATCACCCAAAGCCTCCCACTCTCTTTAGTCTTTTCTCATGGAGCTCATTTCTAAGGCACTGAATCATCTTCACTGTTCTTTCTGAATCATGTCCAAATTCTCCATAACTCATTTTAGTTTAGCTCTAAGCAAAACACGGCTCCCTAATAAGGGCCTGTCTGAAGCTGAGTTAAAGAGAGGGATTAGCATGTGCTTCTTGCATGTCATATACCTATGTTTTAATCACTAACATATTCTTATAAAATAGCTTGCCTTCTATTTTGGATGAAGAAGCTGAGGCATGGAGAGAAGATAAACGCTTTGCACTGACATCACACAAACCCAGCAGCAATTTAGCATTCCCTTCTCCAATTCAATTCTTATTAAACACCAAAGCTCTGTCTCTACTAATTTTCTTGAGGAAACATGCTCTTTGGAAGATTAGAATGAGTAAGATGCTGGCTTTTTGTTGTATAAGTACATAAATGGTGTTTGAATTTTTATATCGCTAAGGCTAAATCAGCCTCAGGCAGAGTGCTACAGTGTAATGATTAGAACCACATTAGGGCAAGAGTAAAGTACAAATGGTATTTTGCAAGGAAAACTTCTCAGTTCAAGTTCTTGGTGAGGACTGTTTTCTGGTTCATTTGGGACTTTTAAACTAGTACCATCAAAACAACTTAAAATAAAGGAAATTAACTGCTTATCCATGTTATACCAAGGACCATTTAGGCTGAGTAAAGAAAGACCAAAAGTGAGTTGAGTAAAAGATTCTGGAAATTTCTCTCTGCATTGCAATTCCTAATGACACATTTTTGTCTGTCTTCTGCACTCCAGTGCTGTCCCTGTTGGTATATAACATCCACTTTGGGGTAGTTTGCCTAGTAAAACCCTATGTTCACATTAGAGTTTACTTTTGAAGGAACAAGATGAAAATAAAAGGTATTCCATTTTGGCCACATCTAAGGTATCAGCAGAGGCTTGGGCCTTTTTCCTAGTCTTATCAGCATTCTAAATGTGAAGACACCCCAAAAGACAATGTTTCATTAAGACTTCAAAGAAAAGATCTTCGCTTGGACTGGCTTTCTTCTAGGTCTCTGCAATGTTTCTTTTTAAATATTGTTTACCATCATCTCATCGTTGTCTTGGTTACAGACTTCACTTTTGCCTTTGGAAATCCAGCTGCTCCTCTTCTTTTGATGGCATTGCTCCCTGAAGGATGTGCCCTGGTGGTGCTCTCTGTGAGGGTGAAAGCAGCAGTTTCTTATTTTAGAAGAGGCATTTTTAGGGTTTCATCAAATCTGTCAAAGACAAAGCCCTGGAGGTGAAATCCTTCCTCCGCAACGAGCAAGCTAATATCTCCCCTTCTCTGCTATCTCAAACTTCCCTTAGAAGATAATATAATGCAGTTCCTAGAGAAACAGACTTGTCCTCAGAGAAGCCCAAAGTGCTTCAGGGGTCAGGAGAAAGGCTGAAAGTTCAGCCTCCAGCCCCTCTGAGCACTTTGCCCTTGTGTCCAGCCTCTCAGCTATGGTGACAGTTAACAGCCGGATTCTTGGTGATGTGGAAACTTGATCACCACATCAGTACATGGGCCATCAAATATGTGACCCTGGGGTGAAAGTCTCCATGTTGTGTTACCTCCCTTCAGCCAGGCCAGCCCCCCAAAGCACTGCTTTTCAATTTATATTTATACCCTCCTTCCCTCCTTCCTGTACTTTCACACGAGGCAGCTGACAATGGTAATAAATGTGGTCATACTCAAGGATGGGGCTGTGACAGGCTCAATAAGGAGTGGACTGATTTGTTGCTTTGGGGTTGAAAGCTCAGACTTTCATGAAACAAAAATATTATATTCAGGGTAATGATTTATGGCCTTGACTCCTGTTTGATTGCAGACCATAAATACTAGCAAACGGTTCTTATAGCATCTCTAGAGGACATTAGGAGCATACTCAAGTTTATTTTATACAGCAATTACACATTCGGTATAAGCAAGGACTTTATTTGAAAGACATTATTTCTCCCCAAATAAGTCTTTGTAGATGATGATGTTCAACATTGATTTTCACACACACTGACCTTAGCCATGTG